GTGTAGGTCTAGGCTAGAGACCATAGTTGACAGGATCCCTGTCAGGATTCTGTGAGTCTTAGATTGAGTYAGTAGGTCTGTCAGTCAGGGGTTGAGGTCTACGTGGTGAGGTTTGAAACCACTAACCCGGTTGTACACTTATCACCATGGTTGAGACCCGTAGTGGGAAGGAGACTAGCCCCTACACCACTGAGCAGCAAGAAAAGATGGCCGCCTTAGTCAGAGAGAATAAGGAGAGGAAAGAGCGTGAAAAGCAAGCCAAGCTAAAGGCTATCGCAGACGAGTAGGCGGCGAAGATGAAGAGATTGGAGGACGAGATGAAGAGGGTACAACAGGAGGAGGAAGAAAGAAGGAAGGCTGCTGAAGGAGAAGCGGCAGCAGAAGAAGAGAAAGAGAGGATGAGAATTGAGAGTGGAGAAGGAAGTAGTGGTGGCACGATGAAGTGGGATACAAATACTGAGCTGGAGAAGAAGATCAGCGAGTGGGTCGCTAATTTATCGTTGGGGGAAGACGAGGAGGCGGAGTCCTATGTGACTAAGGATGAGAAGGYTGCGCTGGSCGCTGARCTAGCRGCCATGACAGACCCAATGGAACGAAGAGAGAGGGAAGACGAGCAAAAGTTAGCATGGAAGTTGAKAATGAAGAGGGAGAAGAAGAGGAGGAGAGAGGAAGTGAATAAGATGACCGCCGCAGTGGCAAAGGTGCAGGAGTGTAGAGCGGAGGTGCTGGCCCAACCAGATGATAAGGCTGCCAAGTGGGACAAAGTACTGGGCTGTCTAGAGGTGTTGAGCAAGGCCTGGATGGAGGAGCGTCAGGCAAGCTGGAGCCAGAATGTAGCGTTGAGTGCCATGTGGTCTGGGTTCAGGGATTTTGCGCGCGAAATCGTCACCCATATTGGGGGTGAAGTCAAGCAATTGAGAGACAACGTAGGGAAGTTTTGTGAGGGTGCCATTCAGGGTGCCAAAGCTGCAGCCGCTGTAGAAGGAGAGGCCAGACCCCGTAAGGACCCAGTAAAACTTAAGTTCCCAGACTCGTACGGGGGGAAGAAGGACGAGAACTTTGACAATTGGGAACCCTGTGTCAATAGTTACATTTATTTACAACATATTCTGATGGAGGAGCAAGTCCTCGTGGCCTTCCAGGCCCTGAAGGACGAAGCGGCTAGCTTCGTCATGTCTCTCGCGCGTACAGCCGGTTGTGAAAACAACCTGGTTGCATATTCTAAAGTCACCCCTCTTTCCCAATTCCTCAGGCTTCTCAAGGAGCGTTTCGCTGACCCAATGAGAGGCATAAGAGCCTCTGACAAGCTTCAAACGATCCACTCACGGCAGTGGAGGAGTGCCAAGGCACTCAAGGGTACCATGTACGACTTGGTAGCCGTCCCGGACCATGGGGGCACTGAGCCCCAGCTGGTTCAGTTGTTTTATCGTGCCATTCCAGAGGCCCTACATGGGCATTTCTTTGACAAGTCTCAGCAGACCGGCATCACATACGATCAATTGAGTCGCGAAGTCGTCCTGTATGAGTCGAAGTCTATGCCAGTTACCACTTTCTGGCATAAGGACTTAGAGAAGGGGAAGAAGTGGATCGTACCATCTCAGGCCAAGTAAAGGCCAAGGATCACATGATTCTGACATTAGAAGAAGGTGGTACCGATGAGGTCCCATATGACCAGATTGAGTGGGGCCTTGAAGATGATGGCAGTAGTGTGGGGCAGGGGAGGTCTTACGCTGCTGTCGCGGCTGGAGGGAGGCCGCAAGGAGGAGGAGGAGGAGGTCAGGGCCAAAGGGGCCAGGCCATGGGAGGCCGAGGACCGGGCGCACAGGGGGTTAGCGGACAGGGAAACCGCCAAGTGGGAGGTAGGGGTTAAGGTCCCCCGTCAAATCGCCAGGGTAATCGGTCCCCACAACGAAGAGGTGGAAGAGCACCTCAAGGAGGTTGGCACCCAGGCTTGCCACAGGGCAGACCCTGGGAAGACTTGGGCTTGGACCGACAATCATGGCAGGAACGCGTGAACATGAGTAAGTGCGTATTTTTTTGTGACCCGGCGCACGTAATTAAATTTTGTCCTAAGTATAGACAGGCTCGTTGGGCTGCCCAACAGTCAAAAGGCAGCCGCCAGTAGGGGTCGCAACAGCCCCTACTTTAAGGCCATGTGGATAAGTGAGCGCGCACGAACATGACACTCCCAACCCACATGAGCCTATGGCAGAGGTTGCAGGCCCGTGCCTAGATAGCTGTCCAGAGACTGCTTGTGTTAGCGTCTCTTTAGGCACGTTTCTCACAGGTGTGGCAGAATAGTTAAAGGAGAGGATGCCAACCTGGGCCAAAATAAAAAAGGAGAGTAAGGGACAACTGATCTTAGTAGATGTAGAGGTGTTTAGGAGTAGAGTAGGGGCCCTCATAGACTCAGGGGCTACCTGTAGTTATATTAGCCGTAGGGCGCTGAAGAAGCTGAGTCTAGGACTAAAGGTCCAGAAATTAGTACACCTCATAGTCAGTGTCCTCACAGACAACCGCACGATGCGCGTTGAGGACTATGTAGAGGGGTTCCAGGCGTACTTTCGCCTAGAGAAGGATGGGAAGGTGGAGAGAGTTTTCCATTCCCTGACTCTCCTCGTACAAGATGACCTTCCTTTTGATATAGTGTTGGGAATGGATTGGGGAGAGGCAACAGGGGCCACACTTCATTTGAGAGAGCATGAGTGTAGGCTCCCTAGTCCGGCGGGCGAAGTTAAGACTGCCCGCTTGTTCGACGTGTCGGGTGTAGACAACACCTTGGCACATTGTTGTCTCAGTGCTCCCGCGTTCGCACAATTAGTCAGAAAGGAGCAGTTAGAAGATCAGGTCTTTGTAGTTTATGTTAGAACTGTCACTAAGGGTCAGGAAAAGGATAGTTCCACAGATCCAACAATTGCCAAGCTGCTGGAAGAGTTCCAGGATTTGACTGAGTCGCCGACAGGAGTAGTGCCGCGACCCATCCAGCACAGGATATAGATAGAGCCTGTCAGTAGAACTCCTAAGGGTGCAGTCTACAGGATGTCCCCTGAAGAGTTAGAGGAGCTTCGCAAACAGTTAGACGAACTCCTTGAGAAAGGTTGGATCAGGCCCAGTTCATCTCCTTTCGGAGCACCCGTTTTGTTTGTCCCCAAGAAGGAAGGAGAACTTCGTATGTGTATAGACTATAGGGGTTAGAACGCTGAGCCGCTGCCCAGGATAGACGATCTTTTAGATCGGGTACAAGATTGTAAGTATTTCTCTAAGATAGACTTAAAGTCCGGATACCATCAGATAGAGGTTCATCCTGATGATCAGTACAAGACTGTGTTCCGGACTAGATATGGGCATTATGAGTTTATAGTGATGCCCTTTGGACTAATCAACGCCCCAACTACTTTTCAGCGTTGTATGAATAACCTGTTTAGACCGTGGTTAAATAAATTTGTAGTAGTCTACTTAGATGATATCCTAGTCTTTAGTAAGACTCTTCAGGAGCACCAGGGTCATCTGAGGCAGGTCTTGGGGAAGCTTAGAGAGGCTAACTTCAAGATCAATGCGAAGAAGTGCGAGTGGGCCAAGACGCAAGTCCTGTACTTGGGCCGCGTATTAGACGGAGATGGCATTAAGCCCGAGGACAGCAAGATAGCGGCGATTAGAGATTGGCTGACGCCCCGCACATTGACAGAGTTGCGGTCGTTCCTAGGCTTAGCTAACTACTATAGGAAGTTCGTAAGGAACTTCTCTACTATTGCCGCTCCCTTGAGCACGTTGCTGAAGAAAGAGGCAATCTGGCAATGGGGCAAAGACTGTACGTCTGCGCTCAAGAAGTTAAAGCGTGCGTTAATAGAATATCCTATCTTCAAAGTAGCAGATCCGTCCTTGCCATTTTTCGTTACCACGGACGCAAGTCAGTATGGGATAGGCGCCGTGTTGCAGCAAGACGACGACAATGGCTATAGACCCGTCGAGTTCATGTCAGCGAGGATGCCCTGTGAGAAGGTTGCTACCTCCACGTACGGGAGAGAGCTCTACGCTCTCTGGCAGGCTTTAGACCATTGGAAGCACTATCTGCTTGGGAGGCACTTCAAAGTGTATTCCGACCACGAGACACTCCGTTGGTTGAAGACACAGGCCAAGATGACACCTAAGTTGACTAGGTGGGCCGCAGAGATAGACCAATTCGACTTTGAGCTCAAACCAGTGAAGGGCAAGTACAACGTAGTTGCGGATGCTCTGAGTAGGAGATCAGACCACTTTGGAGTCGTAGTACACTATCTGGATATAGGGAGAGGCCTGCAGGAGAAAGTGAGACAAGCATATACACATGACCCTATATATAGTGACCTCCTAAAGAGAGTTAGAGAGGCCCCAGAGACCGCACCAGATTACCGCCCTACAGACGGGTTGCTGTTTGAGAAGACTAATGTGTTTGATCGCCTGTGCATTCCCAACAGCGAAGAGTCTGATTCTAGGGGAATGCCACGATACTGAAGGGCATTTCGGTTGGCAAAAGACATTAGCCAACCTGATGCGTGCGTATACCTGGCCAAGGATGAAGAATGACTGCATAGAGTATGTCCACAGTTGTAAAGTGTGCCAGAGGAATAAGTCTACTACACGCGCGCCCCTAGGTCTTCTCAGACCCTTGCCTATTCTGGGTCAGCCGGGAGACTCCGTGTCTATAGACTTCATGGACACGCAAGTCAAGAGCAGACATGGTAAGAGCCAAGTCATGGTCATAGTCGACCGTTTTAGTAAGTTTACAGTTTTTGTTCCTTTGCCTGCAGAGGCACGTACCGATTTAGTAATACAGAAGTTCTTTGACTTTTGGGTTAGTGAGAATGGAATTCCATTGTCAATAGTTAGTGATAGAGATAGTCGTTTCACCAACCAGAACTGGCAAGAACTCGTGAGAGTCTACGGATCTAAGTTGTTAATGTCGTCCGACCGTCACCCAGAGACTAACGGTAAGACAAAACAGATGAACAAGATCCTACAGCAAGTTCTGCGCATGTACATTAGACCAGATCAGATTAATTGGGATGTGAGATGTTGCCTAAGGTAGCTAGTGCATACAACAACAGCGTGCATCTATCCACCTGCCGCACTCCCAATGAGTTGCACAAGTCCTTTAGACCGCGCAGACCGTTCGAAGGACTGAACCGGAATCAGATTCACAGATAACCGCCCGATACCAGGGAGTTTGCGATACAGCACGAAAAGGAGTTAGCCACTATTGTTGAGAACCTTCGGAAGGCCCAGCACAGAATGACAGAGCAGGCTAACAAGCACCGTCGCCCATCACAGTTTCAAGTAGGCGACTTAGTCTGGGTCAAGGCAAAAGAGTTTGCACCGGAAGAAAACATCTCGCAAAAGTTGCTGCCAGCATATAGAGGACCGTGGCCGATTCTAGAAGTCAAGGGCGGAGAGGATGGACCGTCCTACAGCATTGAGATTCCAGCACACCTCCACACATACCCTGTGTTCCATGCTTCAAAGCTGCTGCTGTGTGTCACTAGTCAACAGTTCCCTTCCAGGAGATCAATGATCCCACCGGATATGGATGGGAGCTATGACATAGACGGCATTGTAGAAGAGGATGTGTTTAGGCCAGGAGGTAGAGGTCGTCCCCAGAAACAGTATAAAGTCTGGTTTGCCTATCAGGAACCAGAAGACGACCGCTGGTTCACGAAAGCAGAACTTCTAGAGACTGCTCCCGACATAGTCAGAGCCTATGAGCGTGACAAGAAAGGTAAAGGAACCGGAAGACGACCGCTGGTTCACGAAAGCAGAACTTCTAGAGACTGCTCCCGACATAGTCAGAGCCTATGAGCGTGACAAGAAAGGTAAAGGTCCCGCCTTGGACTGAAGTTTTCTCGGAGGACCTCGAATTTAGGACGGCGGGAGTGAAACGGTTTTCACCTTTAGCAGTAGCGGATGCAGTACCCAGGGTTCGATCCCTAGCCCTCACCATACCCATGTACAGTATCTGTGTAGGCCCCGGGAATTGAACCTGTGACCTGTGTATTCGTAGGCAGTTGGTAGGCCTGTCGTAGGTCCATAGGCAGCAGGGGTTCGATCTGTAGGTCTATAGCGTAGGAGTCTTAGTGAGTTCCGGAAGCTTAGCTGTAGACCTTCTAGAAGCTAGGCAAGTGGGCAAGTGGTCAAGTGGTGAGGCAAGTGGTGGACTAAACCGCAGTGCAACCGCAGTACAACGTCGGTAGGATAGCGGTGAGTCCACAGTCAGTCAACGGAAGGTACAGTCAGTCCCAGTCCGGTCCAGCAAGTACCATAGGGGGACTGTGAGCACCAAGGGCCGATGGCAAAGGGCAGACCAACGAGTTTCTGAAGTATAAATCAAGAGGCAGCGCCCAGCCATTCATTCATTCSTGCGTGAGCCATGCGGAAGCGCTGCCACAGCGACTTGTGCAAGAAGGTCTGCAGATGAGCCCGGAGGAGGCAGTGGGCAAGAGAGAGGGAATTAGTCTCGCGATAGGTTAGATGCAGCGATAGCTGCCATAGCTGTAGTCAGTAGTGAGCTTGTGTGTGTGTGTTAGAGTGTTAGAGTGATGCGTGTGGGATATCCAGGGTGATCCAGTGTATGTGAACAGTGAGATGTTTGGGCGCTGAAGTCGCCATAGCCAATTAAGAGTGAACTCGTGCCTGAAAGCCATTTCTCTGAGTTTTGAGTGGGCGCATGTTGCCAGTATGCTGCGTTGCTGTTTACATGCATGAAAAGTGTGTTTGAGAACGAGTCTGATTGCACTTGGCCTTTCGATCCTGTAGCAGCTACGACCTTCACCCTTCAGGACTGTAGCAGCTACGACTTCTAGACCTTACTAAGACTCCTACCGGACAGACCTACAGATAGAATCCCTACGACTACATAAACTTCCGACAGACAACCACAACTGTCAAACACAGGTCACGGGTTCAAACACTCCGGGTCGACGCAGATACTGTACCTTCGTCCCCCGAATACAACGTACGGTTATTATACCTGTATTTGATCCATCTTTCAGTCTAGATACAGCTATAATGACAGTACGTTGTATTCGGGGGAGGATGGTAGGTGTTTCAGAATCGTACTAGCAGGAAGGAATATTTGGCGGAAAACGCCCACGTGAAAACCTTTTTGGCTGTACTTGAGTTCGAGCTCGGATCCGTATTTCACCCCCCAATTGTTTGAAATACGGCGAAAGGCAGTATTTCAACCCCTATGAGTTCAAATGCATCTGGTCGGCGTTTCAGCTCCCATACATGTCGAGAGGGGTACTGGAGTTCGAGCTCGGATCCGTATTTCATCAATTCGGGGGTGTACCAACTGAGGGGTACTGCCCTCCGCCGAACAACAACACACCCCAAATAATTGAGCGTCTGTTTCGTGCTGGGCACAGCCATAATGAGTTTGCCGTGTGTTGTTTTGGGCGGGAAGAGGGTAGAGAGGCCAGTTAGTTGCCGTAACTTGCGTGCTTCTTTTTCTTCTTCTTCGTTTTTTTTTTGTTTTTTGTTTTTTTTTGGGTGTGTCCGCTTACCTGCTGGCGAATGTGGGACATGTCACAAAGATGATGAGATGGCTTTTTCCGCCCACCCCTTTTTCTCACAGGAGCTAAACGTACCCCACTGAGCCCACTCTGCTGAGTCTCCTCTGTTTGACTCCGTTGACAATTTGACGCCGTCCCTTCCCATTGCAGGGTTCCACTCAACATGCATCTACAGGGGCGATTTTCTGTTGATATCACCATGGCTCCCTCGATGTGGCCTTTTTCTCACGGGAGCGAAACGCACTACCGTCGTCACCCGAATAGAACGCCCGGTCATTATAGCCCCATCTGGTGCAATGTTCAGTACGGACAGCTATAATGACCGGGCGTTCGATTCCGGTGAAGACGCTGGTGTCTTCTTTTTTTTTTTTTTTCTTTAAAGCCCAGGTATGTTGTAGAGGCTGGATTACAGACATTATGAGAGTCACCTTCGTCATGGCTGACTCGATATGGCCTTTTTTTTCCCTCTCTCTCTCTGTCTCTCTCTCTGTCTCTCTCTCTCTCATGTGGGGTGCAGGGGGGGATTTTCTGTTGATGTCACCCTGAAGCTGCAGTGCCTGTTTTCAGCAGGTGATCTTCAAGATCTTGTGCTCTTTAATAATCTTTGTTGCTCCCTGGATATGGGTTTTTAATCTCTCTACTAGCTAAGGCGGTTTTATCGCTTTCTGTTGTTGTCACCATGCAGCTGCAGTGCCTGTTTTCAGCAGGTGATCTTGTGCTCTTTAATAATCTTTCTGTTGTTGTCACCATGCAGCTGCAGTGTCTGTTTTCAGCACGTACTCGTGTGTTCTTCATGGCTCCGTGGATTTTTCATTTTTATTTTACACTCTCTCATGTGGGGATTTTCTGTTGACGTCACCCTGCAGCTGCAGCGCCTGTTGTCAGCTCGCTCTCGTATGTTCTTCATGGCTCCCTGGACTTTGCCTTTTCTTTTCCTCTCTCTCATGTGTTTTTTTTTGTTGATGTCACCATGCAGCTGCCGTGCCTGTTTTCAGCTCATGTGTTTGTCATGGCTACCTCCATAAGGCTTTTATTCTCTCTCTCTCTCTCTCTCTCTCTCTCTCTCTCTCTCTCTCTCTCTCTCTCTCTCTCTCTCTCTCTCTCTCTCTCTCTCTCTCTCTCATGTCGGGATTTTCTGTTGATGTCACCATGCAGCTGCAGTGGCTCTTTTCAGCTCGCTTTCATGTGTTCTTCATGACACTCTGGAATCCAAGATGGTGAAAAAAAAAGAAAAGAAAAAAGAGGGGAAACTGTGCGGCGGTCACAAAAACAGTTTGAAATTTCACTTCAGGCATTCGGCCTGAAAATGTCGAATGCATACAAGCTAGCTTACGGGTCCGGTACTGTCAAGCAGGGGTCTGTTAAGTTTGGGGGAATGCCTGAAGTGCAATTTCAAAATGTTTTTGTGACCCCCGTGTAGTTACCTCCCAAAAGGTCTTTTTCTGTGTAACAGCGATTTACTTAGAATGGACATATTTCTTTTTTTTTTAATGAAATTTAAATCTCTTTTTTGGTGCAAAACTCATGATATTGAGGGTACAGCATTCTGAAAACACCCTACCCCCTCGATGTGCAATAACCCACTCAAATATGCCTATGTCGTCCGGCAAGGGGGCCACCCGGTGCCCGCAGGCCACAGTTCGGCCTCAAGGCCCTGCCTCTGACTCTGTGGGAAACAAGGCCCCTGAAAGGAGGCTTCATAGGCCCTGTGCCCGACAGTTGATTGAAGTCAACTGTAACTTGGAATACTGAGGCTCACCAGTCAAAGTCTTCAGGGACCCAGTCCAGGCCACCGATCAGACACACACACTTGGTTATACGCAGGTATCCAAGCAGCATTTGGTCCATTGCAAGTGGAAGTTGGAATACTGAGGCTCACGAGTCAAATTCTTCACGGACCTAGTCCAGGCCACCGATCAGACACACACACTTGGTTATATGCAGGTATCCAAGCAGCATTTGGTCCAAGTGGAAG